TAACATTAGTTAACTACTTTAGTTAACATTAACTAAGCATGAACAATACTTCTACAGCATTTATTAATCTTAGTTCATGTTAATTTCAACATTAACTAATGCATTATTTTTTTTAAAAAGTTGTGCTTGTTAAGGTTAGTTACTGCACTGTGAATTAACATGAACTAACAATGAATAACTGTATTTTCATTAACTAACATTAACAAAGATGAATACATACTGTAATAAAAGTATTGTTCATTGTTCATTCAAGTTAACTAATAACTAACATTAACTAATGAAACCTTATTGTAAAGTTTTACCATAGTTCTACGATGTGACTAAATAATATACCAAATGCCTTCAGATGAAGAGTAGCATGTCACACAACTGAACATGTCAATTTCCCAGAAGTATTTCAGGGAGTTATTTGCAGGAATTACTCACCATTTGGTTTATAAATCTGTTAGGAGCTGCAAAATAATTTAGTCACATTGTAACACTATTTGAAATGTATAGAATCAATTTGTCAGTTTTTAATCATAACACACTGTATATCAGTTTCTGGGCAAGTTAATAAGAATTCACATTAATTTTATGATTTATTTATTTATTTTACAAACAAAAAAAAAGATACAAAAGGAAGATATTTAAAAAAATCAGTAACAATGCAAATAACAACAATAAACAAGACAAGATTAGAAGAAAAAAAGGGAAGTGGATAAACAATAATTATGACAAACGGTGTAAATAAATGTACACATGCAAGTGCACATAAACGTCCAGGAAGATGCATATATACATGTGCACAACCATCCCAATATGATAAACCGTTACAAGCTAATCAACCAGTAGACATATTATGTAGGGGGGTTGGTGGGGCTGATCAATCTGGGTCCAGCTGGAGAGTTTTAACGTATGTAAGAAAGGGCTTCCAAATTTTAGTAAAACTACTGTTAGGCCCCTGTAGAGAGTCACTAATTCCTTTTAAATGTTTCTACAATGTGATGAAATAATTTAGCAAATGCTTTCAGATGAAGAATAGCATTTCACACCACTGAACATGTCAATTTCTCAGAAGTTTCAGGGAGTTATTTTCAGGAATTACTCACCAGTTGGTTGATGAAATTCTTAGGAAATGCAAAAAAAATGTCCAGTTTTACTCACATTAATACCACAATACTGAACAATATTTAAAACTCTTAATAGAAGTAAAACAACCCATATTTAAATCTTTTCATTGCCTTTGAATGCTCAGATGTGTACCCGAGTCACTGCGGCACTGATATATTTGCTAGACAACAATATGAATACAGTATAGGTCTAACTAGATCTAAAAATATATATTCATTATGTATTGTATTTTTAAAGGTAACTTTAAGTTTTGTACCTGGTTCTTTTCTGGCCTTAGTTACTTTATTTAACTGTGCACATTTGTACTTTTTCATGTAAATTATTTATTTTGTTTCACATAATACCTTCTTGGCAATAAAAATAAGGGTCAGTAATTACCGTGCCAGAGTTTTAATTGACACATGCCTCTTACAGCCGCATGTGCCACAAAATACAGCGCCACAAACACCTAAGATGCCATGCCAGTTCATGTTAATAGTCCTTCTCAACTACTGCCAAGACAACTGCATCACAATCCAACTGGAAAGACAATATTTGGTAACACTTTATTTTAAGGTCCAATTCTCACTATTAATTAACTATTAACTACGACTTTTGCCTCAATAAACTCCTAATTACTGCTAGTTGTTAGTTAGTAAGTAAGTTAGTTGTTAAGTTTAGGTATTAGGCATGTGGAATATGGTCATGCAGAATATGTTCTTTATAAGTACTAATAAATAGCTAATATGCTAGTAATATGCATCCCATTCTGTTTACAATGTAACAAGTACATCGGGTGTTATTGAGAAGTGTTCCCGGTTCCCTTTCAGTCAGTCACTCTCGACATCACGTCGGATGACCGACGAAATTGGGATCTGCAAGATTGCGTGGATAGGTGAGAGAATATGATCTTTAAAATGTATATATTTAGATAGAGCTTAAAAAACTCAAAGAGCTATGCCAGCATGAATTTTTACTCGGGACATTTCTGCTACTGGAGTTTCAGATTAGTCAAGCTTATTTGCATTGCACTATACAGAAAATCATGATGTTGATGTTTGTAATATAAACATATATTATCATATTTGTTCATATCTTCATACCTTATAGTTGTATTTAGCAGATTAGAGCTGGGGTCTGGACACGTTTATCACTATGAAGTCATCCTGCAATCACAAACTATGTACCACAATACATATGTAAAAAATAAATAACAAAAGAACACAAATAATTTAGATGGTAAGTTGAAGTAGTCGATGCATTTAAAAAAAAAAAGAGAAAAACACAAATGTGTACAATTTTGAATTTTTACATTTACTGTAAAGAGGAAGTTAAACGTGTTTTAGTCTTTCAAGACTCATGAATGTTAGAGAAAAGCATTTTTAAAAAATCATTATCTGGTCAGTTTTTGAAGTGGTGTACCATTATGGTGGTATTTTTCTTTGCTTTTGATATTCCAGAATTATGTGCATGTGGTTTGGTGGTTTAAATGAATAAACTCCTTTAATATAGCACCATCTTGTGGCTTAATTCTCACTAAAGTTCATACATATAATTTTGCACATTTATCCCAAATTATTGAAATGACAGGCTGGTGAAATGTAATTGGTTGTAGGAAACCGAATTTGTTTATTAAGTGCATGTAAGTTGTTGTTGCAAAGAAATTGTGGGAATTTCATTTTAGAAATCCCTGTTATTATATGTTTTTCTTATTTACTTATTATACTTATTCTTCCGTCATCAGTTTGGTCCGTGCTTGATTATGACTTCAAAGTTTTGAATTAGTTTTTATTTTTGTATTTTCCATTTTTATTTTAGGTTTTAGTAAATTTTTGTGTTTTGTGTGTGTTTATATATATATATATAGTTTTAATTTTAGTTATTTTACTACATCAAGTTAAACTAAATGAAAATGGGAAATGTTGTTTTGGCAGCTAGCTGAAATAAAATTATTTTATTTTATTTAGTTAACGTTTTATTTTATTTTCAAGTAAAAACATAAATGTACCGCAAATAGCTTTACATATTTTTTTGTCTATTGCTGTGAAGTTTGTACTGACAAAATCATATCAAAATCATATTATGGCATAAAAACAACCAAACTATAATAAACATTTGCAATAAAATATTAATTATTTATTTATTATTATTTTATTTTATTTCTTTACCAAAAATATATAGACACATCTGGGATATTATGAATAATACATTTTTGGTCTGTGTTGTCATTTTAACAGTCAAGCGCTGTATACTTTTCAGTCATGGTCTTCACGGTCCTTCACAGCGCGGAGATAAGCTTTGTTTACTGAGGTTCCAGCTGAATCCACTCGTTGTATCCTCCAGCATAATGACGGGCTCTGAGACACAAACACACTTACGATGAGTTTTGTTGTTTGTGAGCATAAATCAAATGAATTATCATGAGGTTTTTGTGATTTCCAAATGAGGATTTAAAAACAAAACACATTTAATTGCAATGTTTGTAGAGCGTTTTCTAGCCAATATAATATTTTAGAGCAAATGTCTATAGCCATTACAATGATTTGTAACTTTATTTTGCCAACTGTTTTGAGATGCAATGTATGTAAATGTCCCCAGAAGAAAAGAAAACATAAATCATAATTGTGCTACTTATGAAACAAAGCTTCCTACAACTACTGGAAAAAAACAGTAATATAACTGATGCCACTACCTGTAAAAATAAATAAATAAAAACACTTTTAAAATTATGTATTAACATATAAAAAGACTTTTCTAGCAAAAAAAACTAAAACCATAAAAAAATTTTTTTACTTGAAATAGAATAAACATTATCTGAAAAAAAAAAAAAAAAATATATATATATATATATAACTTAAACTTATTTTATTTCAGCTAGTTGCGAAGGCAACATTTTAACTTGATGTGATGCATGCGTGCGTGCGTGCGTGTGTGAAAAGTCTTTAAAAACATACTAAATGGTGTTTTTTTGAAAATCTAAAAATGCACAAAGTTTCCTGTGAGGGGTAGGTTTAGGTGTAGGGTTGGTGTAGGGCGATACTACAGAAAATACAGGTTGTACAGTATAAAAACCATTATGCCTATGGAGAGTCCCTGTGTGTGTGTGTGTGTGTGTGTTCATATACTTGCTGTATCCCAGATCTTTTGCGGTCTCCAGCGCGGTGAGGCTGCGGACGCCCCTCTGGCAGTACAGCACAAAGTCTGAGTCCTCTAAACCAGGCTTTGGGACGCCGTAGCGCTCTCTAAACTGATGTGGGTTCAGTCTGAGGGCCTGCTCCACGTCTCCCACTGCATGACCAAAAACACCGTCACTCATCATGTCTGTGTGAGTTTGTGCAGATCTTTGTGTGCTGGTGACTTACAGGGAATGTTAGTGGCTCCTGGAATAAATCCTGCTTCCAGTTCCTCTGGTTCACGAACATCGAAGAGCTGAACGCTTCCGGTGGACATCATTTCCTTCAGCTGCTCGTACGTCACAACATCATCTGAATGGGTTCAGTCTGAGGGCCTGCTCCACGTCTCCCACTGCATGACCAAAAACACCGTCACTCATCATGTCTGTGTGAGTTTGTGCAGATCTTTGTGTGCTGGTGACTTACAGGGAATGTTAGTGGCTCCTGGAATAAATCCTGCTTCCAGTTCCTCTGGTTCACGAACATCGAAGAGCTGGACGCTTCCGGTGGACATCATTTCCTTCAGCTGCTCGTACGTCACAACATCATCTGAAGCACACGACGGGTGAGCACACATCTGAGTATTGAAATCATCCTGCTGCTAATTCATATTGCAAAGCTGTATTTATCTATTATTTATCTATCTGTTAGATATATTTTATCATTTATCATTTAATATCTGATACCTTGATTATGGATAAATATAGATAAATGGAACTACAGGAGTGACATGTCAAAAATAAAAATAAATACTATTTTATCATTTCAAACCTAACAAAGATTTTTTTTTTTTTTTTTAGGGTTGGTAAATTTGATTAATGTTTTTAAAGTCTCTTCTGTTCACCAAAGGCTGCATTTATTTGATCAAAAATACAGTAAAAACAGTAATATTGTGAAATATTATTACAATTTAAAATCACTGTTTTTTG